TTCATCAGTTGTCTACCTTCTTTTATTAATCATTACTTGGTAGCTTTCTATTGTTAGTTCTATTGGTGCTATAGCGTCATGGCTATAAATTAATTGAAAAAGCAAATAACCCAAATTGCCTCATGCAAGTATTCATACTACTTATTCTGCCTTTTGGTACAAACTTTCCTCAAAATCCTGATCAACTTCTGGACCATCCTTTCTGCTTTACTATTTGCTTCCGGGTGATAGCTAGCTGAAAAATTATGGTTGGTTTGAAGTTACATAGTAAGTTCATTAATTATGCTATTCTTAAACTCCTTTCTCCAGTCAAAAACTAATTCCGCAAAACATCTGTGCCTCAATATAATATTCTTCCACAAAAATTGAGCTATATTTTTCTCTTTAAAGCTCTACCTTCCACAAATCCAGTCAAATCCTCTACTGCAACAACAATGTGTTCGTGCCTAGCAGTCATCTGTGACAATGGCCCAACATAAATTTTGTTAAATATCCAACTCATCGCCATTATATAGATCGGTTCCGGTGGTATCTTTGGTGCACATCTTTGACATATCTCACAAGACGAAATATAGGTTTTAATATCCTTATACACTTTCCCTGTTGCCTATTTGTAGTTCATCAGGACTTTACAAGTCACCACATTGATTCCTTGAAGGCCACCTTCCTCTGCTAATACCCCATGATTTGCCCTTAATATTTGTATTTTTTCTTTATTGCCAAAAATCACCTGGTGGTTTTCCTTTTTCTGCTCGTCTATACAATCAACTGCTAATAATGCAATACCTCTGTATCTTTCGTCAAAGATATTTTAAATCTGCTTTACTTGCATTAGAAGGCCAAGAAAATGTCTCCAAGTACTTATGAACTACTTCCAAATCTGTCAACTTAACATCCTTGGGACTCATGTACATTAATAAAGAATCTATAAAATCTTTATTATTGATTTCTTTATTTGTGAGAGGATTAGAATACCTAGATAATTTATCTGCATTTCCATGTTCTTTTCTGGGCTTATATTGTATGTAGAAATCGAAGAATTGCAATGCCAAAACTCATCTTATAAGATGTCCCTTCAGCATAGCTTTATTGAACAACCAACTCAAGGCTTGGTGATCTACCCACACCTCAAACATGGTATCAGCAATGTATTGTTCATTTATGTTGCATCCAAAAACCACTCCCAAGCATTCTTTCTCAGTTACACTATAATTAATCTCGTGCTTATTCAACTTTCTAGACTCAAATGATACCGGTCTTATCAATCCTTTTTTATTTTTTTGTTCTAATACCACACCAAGCATGACATCACATGCATCTGCATGGAGGTAATAAGAACAATCCCTGTCTCGTGCTTTTTGCTAATTCGGCCTCTTTAATATAGTTTCGCTTAATAAAGAAGATTTTAAAGTGCGAAAAGCTTTGGCCTGTTCTTTTTCCTAACAGAATTCAACATCTGCTCTTATTAAATTCATTAGAGGTTTCGCAATTCTACTAAACCTCTTCACGAAGCATTGATAGTAGTTCATTACTTCCATGAACGATTGAACCTGTTTAAGGTTCTTAGGTTCTTTCCATTGTTCTATCCACTCAATTCTCTTTGGATCAGCTTTAATACTCTCTTTACTAACAACGAATCTGTAAATATGCAACTTTTTATACAAAAGGAAGTATTTCTTCGTAGCAAAAGTAAGGCAGGCACTCTTGAATTTTTTAGCTAGTTTAATAAACTCTTTGACATGAAATTCTTTTGATCCACTAGTCTATAATTCTATATCATCTTGATATACCCTAGCAATATTCTTCTATTCTTCTCCTTCCAATATTATGTCCATTAAGTGCTAAAAGGTCTTGCTTGTATTTTTAAGCCCCATACACATTACAGCATATCATAGTGTGCCCAGCGATGTTGAAACAGTGACTTTATCTCGATTCTCTTTACAGATCTGAATCTGCCAATATCCCTTAAATGCATCTATACTCAAATACCAATCATGACCTGCTGTCTTTTCTAGGATATCTTTTATCAATGGCAGCAGATAACTATCTTTAATGATGTGTTTGTTAAGGGCCACATGTCTCCAACAACCCAAAAATGATCTGTTCCCCTTTCCTTTTTTCTTACTAGGAAGCAGTGGTAAGCATATTCTTCTATCACTTTTTCTAACAACCTATTTCTTATCATTTTCCTCAAATGCTCTTCGAACAATTTGGCGTGTTCCAGATTATTGATTCGAATTGGGCGCATTCAAGTTGGAGGCACTACTTTTCCGCCTATATGAACTTCATATTGAACCAAATCGGTTCTTCCAATCTCAGATAAGTCAAAAGCAAATATATTCAGTACTTCTTTTATCAGCTATTCTAGTAGTTGTTGTTTCTTAGCCTCTAATAAATCTTTGCCAATGTTTACCAGGTTACAATTGTCTTTGGTGAGTCTCATTACTAGCTCTGGTTCCATACCTTTAATTATACTATTAGTATTTTCATCCTTTACTGACCAACACACTATCCTTCCCTCATACTCCATGTTAACTACTTGACAACTATTTGCACTATCAATTTCTCTGATCTTCAAGTTTCTAATATTTGAACCTTCGTTCATAATGTTTCCCAAGTTTCCTAATTCTATCGTTTTAACCTCTACACATCTTACTTCCAACAAATCATCGACTTCTTCCTTGTCCTTGTCTTTACTATCTATATCTTTTTTATTTATCCAACTACTTGGTACCACTAAAATTACAAACACTGCCTTTTTCTCATCAGATTCAATATTGTACCAGAGTTTATTGTCTTTCCACCTCAGACTACATCTAGATATTGCTAGCCAGGACATGCCTAGTAATACATCGAAACTGGCAGTTTCCATGACATAAAATTCCTGATAAACAATTTTTTTTTCTATATCGATCTCTATATTCATAACACACCCCACAAATTTACTTAGACAATCATCTGCTATACGGCCACCTTTGGTAGCTGGTTGCCAAGTAAAACCTCTTTTCCAAGCATACTTTTTGTGTATTAGGTTTAAACAAGACCCCAAATCCACAGGTACTGAAACCACTTTACCGTTAATCCTGGGTGTACTTATTGGTATATCTTCTAATTTTAATTTACTTTTCTCAAGAACTCCTTTAATAACACCTATTCTAGCATCCATACTGAGAACATTGTTTTCTCTTTTTTTTCTTGTTAGCGTTTTGAGCACTTCTACTTAGGCCTTGAGAGACTATTTAAACAGTTGCCCTAATGATATAGTTACCTCTTTCTCAGCTATTAACTTAAGAATATCTATTTCCTGAGTTAACTCGGTTATCGGTATATATAAAACAGACTCTTTGCTAAAAACTTTATTGTTATTTAGTTCAATAAGCTTCAGAGACTCCCCTTCTTTTTTTCTTTTAGTTGCTCGGGCTAGTATATCTATGTTTGCTTGTCGTTTTTACCAAAATTTCTAATATCAAACAATGTCTCATCCTCCTTTACTTGTATTATAAGATATTCATCTTCTTCTGGCATTGTTTTTTTCATGAGTCCAAAGAGCCTTACATTAGCATTTTTTATTTCCAGATCATTTACTCGACTATTCAAATTCAAGCTCATGTTTTGATTCTGCCCCAACCAATTTGGACAACTATGTGCTTGATGCCCCTCTTGGTTATATACATAACACTTTTCTCTACTCTGCGCTGTGTTTGCAAATGGGTACCTGTGCTAAGAAAGATTGTGCTTCTTATCTATAAGAGTTTGTATAGCTTTTAATAACTCTACTATACCCGTTTCTATCCGTTCTAATCTTTTCACATTTAAAGAATGCTGATCACTAACATGACAAATCTTCATAGCTTCTTGTACAGCAGGAAGTTTATTAATTTTATCTTTGCCTGACCTCTTTGTTTTTTCAGTAATAACTTGAACAGCACTTTTACTAATATATTCTCTATTTCTATCATACTTTTTTATCTGTACTGCCAGATCTTTTGCTGCTTCGTATATGTCCAGACACGCATTAGCAACTTTTTCTTGATATGGGCTCTGAAGTTCTTGTATATACTACTTTCTTTTCTCAAGATCCTTTAGCTAATCTTTTACTTCCGTAATATAAGCATTGAAACAATTAGTATATATTTGAACAGTATCATCAGTTTCCTGAACCATATTCTTTAAATGCTTCAATTTTTCATTGATATCAGACGACTTTGCCCACTTCGTTTTTATGGCTTCCTTCAAGTTATTCCAAGTTGAGTAAGCTTTCATTAATTGTAGTATTGACAGTTTTAACTTGTCCGCTATGTGTAATATGATTACTAAGCACTTTTTACTATTATTCCAATTCTTTGAAGCAGCATATGCTTTAAAGTAAAATAAAAACTCTTCTACATTTTTGTGACCTGTGTAAACAGATTTGGTTGAATCAAATACCCCCATTGAGTTCAAACTGTAATTCGAAAGTTGAGCTGGAGTATCATTTAGGTTTTTCTATCTATACTTGTCGCTCACCAATAATTACTCCCAATAAGATACCTATTCGAAATACTCTCAATTTCTTTATATCTCTTTAGTATTACTAATATTTTTTTTTATTATTATTGTCCGAAGGACATTATGGTAGAGGCAACGACTATCTGGTATTCATGTATCTGCAAATTATGGCTTTTAATTGGCTAGATTAGGTGTAATATAAAAAAAAAACAACCAAAACAATATCAAAAATCGATTTATATTGGTTCTTCAGACTTTGAATAGTTTCCATTTTTCTAGTTACTATTACTCTGCACGGTACTTATTCATGCCCAGTACCAGGGTATTTCAGCAACTTATAGGTTGCTCTGCATAGTACTTATTCACGCCCCAGTATTAGAGTATTTCAGCGACTTATGGGATCTTTTAATTAAATTTTTTTTTTTTTGACTTAGTAAACAAAGACAATTTTACTCATTATCAACCTCTTTGTATCCACTACGAATAGTTACATTCTTATAACAAGCAAGACTTTAATCATGCCTAGGTTCTTCTGTCGTATCTATTTCCGGTCCTATATGACAAATCATCGAAGCTGCTATAATTGTCTGATCTTCTCCTAATATGGCATTTGTACGCTTCTCCTAGCAAGGAAAGCACCTTTTTCTAATTTATTCGAAGTTTTACTTTGTTATTTATTTATTTGTTTATTTTTTATAAATAGATATATATAAGTTTTTGTATATTTTCTTTTATTATTATAAAGTGAAAGAAGAAAACCTTCTAAGCTTCCTTACTCTATTTTTGATCCTCTTAAATACATATTTTTTCTTAAATTAATTATATTATAATTTTACCCTTTGATATTTAACTTATACCTTAATTACATAATGAGTTAGTCATATGGATATTTAACTTTATCTATATTGTATATTTTTCATGCGCTATAACTAATTATTAATTGATTATTATTAATATTTTAAGTACTCTGATCAATTTGGATATTTGATTTCCTGGAATTCATTCATTATCACATGTGATCTTGAAAGAATAATATAATCGTGAAAATAACATATTGATACATAACATACTTATTCTATATATTTATCTTCTCTCCTATTCTTCTTTTATTATCATATCTCTCACCACATATTGTGGAAGCCAACTTTCATTAGAGAACCAATTATCACTACTACAACTACTAAGCATAATTCTTACACTTATTAAAAAGTTAATTAAAAAAGGTATCTATTATTTTTTATGTTTTGGCTGATTATCTCAAGATTTTCAACAAAAGTGGGTAATTGGTCTCACCCTCTTCAAAAGATTGACAATATTTATATTCCAAATCTGGTTAGATTGATAAACAGCAACTATGTGTTTGGTAACAAATATGGTATATGTGATTTGAATCATGTCCTGATCAAAAAAAAATTCCTGGTAACAGCAGCAGGTGGCTTGAGATACAGGTCCTGTGATATCAGCACCCTTAGTAGAAAGTCAGCTATAGTTAATGCTTTAAAGTAAAGAGTTAAGGTTTGGTAACATTGGCACTCTTAGTAAAGAGTCAGCTTGAGTAGATGCTCTAAAGTGTAGAGTTGAAGTTTGGATAGTGGCAGCACCTATTTAAGGTATAGACTAGATTATTAAAAATAATCAGAGTTAGGTCGGAGAGAAGAATAAGGTTAAGTTTTAACTTATAGTAGAGATATACAGATATTGTATCTAGTATATAATTTTTTAAACTGCTTGGCATGGACTATAATAGTGCATCAGATTGTTTTAAGTTGGTTTTTTTTTTATTTTCATCTTGATTCACTTATGATGAAATTGTTTAAAGTAGAAACTTTAAATTAGTTTTTTTTTTGTAAGTTGGACAGATATACTAGTCTTATAAGTATATTAGACTAGTTTTCTGAGTATGTTTATTGCTTATTCTGTTTTGTTCTGTTATGATGGAATTATTTAGAGTAGGTATTTTAAAACTAGATTTTCTTTATAAATATGGCATATATTTGATTTTATGTAAAAGTAAGAGTTAATATATCCTGCTCAAATATAAATGGGAAAAGTTTAATGAAAGGAAATTTAAAGTAGTTGTGACAAGAAAAAGAAAAGATATTATATCCTGTTGGGATTGTGCTAGAAATAATTTGAAAAAAAATAAATTTAAAGTAGTCAGATCTTAGGTGTCTGACTATCTAGCTATATTAGGTTTTTAAATATGAATAGCATTGTATATAGAGCTTAGTGACAACAGTTAGTATAATAACCATACTTGGGTATTTTATAAGCAGCTAGGTATTGACTTAATATATAAATTAGATAGTTAAGTTTGTAAATTTTAAAGCTTCTAATAAATTAGTGCAAGGTTATCAAAGTGAAAAAAAAAATTTTAAAAATCTTGTATATCTCTATTATAAAGCTAAGCTTTATTATTAAATTTCTTCTGACTTTAATATCTAATCTGAGTTGTAGTGTAGGATTATTATTGTTTAAACAATTTCATATTTATGTTTTACTTTGTTCGTTTAAAAATAGAAAGTGTAAACAATGCCGATCTTTGGAAGAGATAAACTAAAATACTTACTTTTTGTTAAAATTTTGGTGAGGTCAGTAGTGCTACAAATCATCAAAAATTTTGCAATCAATTAGTTGTCAACTTTTCAATTATTTGATTTTTATTTGATTTTAATATGAGTTGCCAAAAATTTTTCAAACGATTAGTTGTCAACTTTTCGATTAGTTGTGATTTTCGATTTGTGGCACTAGAGGTTGGTGAAATACAAGAAAGAGGAAAAAAAAACCACTCGAGACCACTAAAAAAGTATGAGTTTTCTTTATTAGAATCAACTATACATCCAAGCCTGTATAGTACTAAGTCTTTTTGGTAAGTGATAAACTTTAAACTTGTTGGCAAGTAATATATTAGAACTATTTCTAAACAACAAATACCATGCCTGCAGTAAGTGATAAACTCTGAGGCTGTTAGCAAGTAGTATATAAAAACTATCTAAATAATAGCTGCTAATTTATAGTTACTTTTTTTATATTTTATATGCAAGTCAACAACTTTACCCTAGTATACTGTATTTTTTTCCTAGTAAAAAGTGTTTTGAAAATTGTAGTTCAAGTAATTATTAGAAAAAGTTGACAATTCTTGTTATTAAATTTTATTAATATAAAAATTTATAGAAAATAACTATTTGTACATAGTATATTTATACAGATATTGGATATAATTATAACGACAATTAGATTAGTCATGTGAAAAACAATTTTCGATAATTATATGATATATATTTAGCACGCCTTTTATATAATATTGCATATTTGTAGCAGTAGTGAAAATCATCTTTGAAAAAATAATCTTACGTATCACATTACGGCATGTGGTTATAAATTAACAAACAATTAACATTCATGCATATGTGCTGATTTTACTAATACACTCCAAAAATTTTTGATTTGCAAGCATCACTATTTAATATCTTAGCACTAGCAAAAGATCTTATATGTACAAGACCCGGGTTTGTTATATTCTGCTGATTAAAAAAATTTACAGTAGACCCGAAGTTTATTGTAGCAAAGTAAATTCTAAAAACATGCATTTGTAATAAGCAGTTTGGGTTTTTAAAAACATCTGTATTTATTTAATAGAGATTCTGTGATTTATACATGGGTCTAGTTCAACTGAAGCATTTATACAAGACTAGTTAAAACATTGGTACCAGGTGGCATTTTATATCTTAAAGAAATTACTATGCTTTCACCACAGTCCTATACTGAAATTCCACTACATACTACTCAAGAATTGGTTAGTGAACTTAAATGGCAGGCTTTGTTAACTTGGAGATCTAATTTATTATGATAGCGTTAGACTCTGAGTATTACTTCTTAATATTTATAGCAATTCTGGTTAGTGTCATAACTACTAGGTTTTATGTTAGAGTAATTTGAGTCTTAGGGGATCTGTATTCATATTAATTAAGATGAGTATATACATATTTATAAATCCAAATGTTTTTAAAATAAGTTATTTGAATTCATTAGTATTTACTATTAATTTTCTCTTGTTAATTTAGGGTTGCTCAAAGATATTCAATAAGCTATTTAATTTTATAGATATTTACTGTTTAATTTTTTTTTTTTGCATCAATAACAAACTTAAAGTATATGGGCTAACTCAAAACACAGCTACTAATAAGTATATGTTGATATTTGATAAATTTTATTTCAAACGAAGTTATCATAATGGACATTGTAGATATCACCAACTTGGTGTCAGGCATGTGATCCTCTTTAAAGAATAGCTAAAGGATGAACAAGTATAAATAAGAATATCAATGATTGCATCAAGGAATTTCAACTTAAAACAACAGAATATGAAAATGTGATCGAATAGATCCCCTTTTAGTGACTTGGATCATATTCAAAAAAGCAGTGATAAATTATTAGCAACCTGGCTAGATGGTATACGAATTACTGAATATAAGAATGGACACATGCAATCACATATGCTGCCATATATCATTACTGAATAGTTCTCTGAATTCAATGGATCTGTCAGAAGAGGTAAAGATATAAGATAAACTCTATTATTTATTTATTATTATTAATTGCATTTTCATTTTTATGTATTTAAATTTATCTATTCAATTTAGTTTAAGAACTATATAGAAAATATAACAAATTTAAGTATATGAGCTAACTCAAAACACAGATACTAATATGTATATATTGGTATTTGATAAATTTCATTCTAAAAGAATTAATCAAAATGGAGAATGCATATATTATAAATAATACAACACATCACCAGCTTGGTGTCAAACATGTGATCCTCAAATAATGGCTGAAGGCTGGACAAATGGAAATAAAAATATTGATAATTGCATTAAAGAATTTCAACTTAAAACTACAGAATATGAGGATATAATCGAGTGGATTCCTTTTAATAAATTAAATATTATTCAAAAGAGCAGTAATAAATTATTAGCAACCTGGTTAGACATACGAATTTTCGAGTATAAACACACACTCAATCATGTACACAACTATGTATAATTACACTTAAAACATTAAATAGTTCTTAGAATTTAATGAATCTGCCAGAAGAGGTAAAGATATAAGATAAACTCTATATTTATTTATTATTTAGTGTATCTACACTTTTAAGTATTTATATTTATCTATTCAATTTAGTTTAAGAGCTATATAGAAAACAATAAACTTAAACTATATGGGCTAACTCAAGACATAGCTACTAATAAGTATATGTTGGTATTTGATAAATTTGATTCCAAAAAAAAGGATCAAAATGAAGAATGTGCATATTGTAAATGATACAACAGATCTAAGGCTTGGTATCAAACATGCGACCCTTAGAGAACAGTTTAAAGATTGAGAAATATAAATAAGAACATTGATGATTGCCTTAAAGAATTTAAAACTATAGAATATGAGAATGTGATTGAGTGGATTCCATTTAATAGAAAATATAACATTCAAAGGATCAGTGACAATAAATTTGGTTATATATATTAAGCAACCTTGTTAGATAGCAACCAATCAATTTCAGATCTCAAACAGTTGTATATATCATTATATTTGGTAGAACTTAAGGGCTTATCTGACTTACAAAATTCATTAGATTTTTTGAAAGAAGTAAGTTAATATCTTATAATTAATTCACTCTGAAAGACTGACATTAATGTTGTTTAAATCTTTATTTACAAGTTTACAATTAAAAAATAATATAATTGGAATAACCCAATTTACAGCAACTGGTGAATATATAATAGTATTTGAAAGTACAAATAATAACAATGATAGTGATAAGTTTGCTTTGTAACTGATTTAATACTTCAACAAATTGGTGTCAATTATATAATCCTTATAGAATAACTCAGGAGTGAACAAGTTATAATAAAGATATTAATAACTATATTAAAGAGTTTTAACTTAATGCTACTGAATGTAAGTAAGCAATTGAATGGATTCCATTTGATAAATTAAATGTCAAAAAAAAGAGGATTTGGTACTGTATTTTTAGCTAATTGGCAACAAAACACTTCACAATCTATTAAGGTGGCTCTCAAGACTTTACCTGGACCAAAAAAAATTCTAATAATTTTCTAAAAGAAGTAAGTTATTATTTAATTATTGTCTATAGCTATCATATTTCAATTTATATAGATTTTATTTTT